GTTTGGGCACGGTTGCGCATGCTGGCCTGGGAGGACAGCTTCAGTGGGGGATCTGGGCAAGGGGAAGTCACTCTGGGCAGGATGATATCTTTTATGTTAGGTTTAGCCCTTGGTTTTTCAGCAATGGTGTGCTGTGCTTACGCTCCCTGCAACCACAGGGACACATTTCCCCTGGGAACAGGCTTCTATGGCCCATATCACACAGTACAGACCCTGCCATCACTTCATATCAGCAGTTAAAGATCCTGGTCCCATTCCCTGGCCTCTATCATGCCAGGATCCTTAATCAGCAGGTTTCTCTAGCCTGCGTCAGCCCAGACACATCCCCGCAGTGGGTTGGGACAACATGAGTAGGTGCTAGTGTAATGATTTTCATCACCTAACTCCAGCAAGATTAATTTAGAGAAATACTCCAGTTCCGACAGATGCAGAGGAATGCAAAGTCACAGCCCCTGGACCACAGCTCAAATCCCAGACAGTGCCTCGCTGGACTGATTCACCAGCCTCTGGGGAGGTTCGATAACACGTGAGCCTGAAGATACCCACTGAGTGACTCTGCTGGGTTGGCAGTGTGCAGCCTGCATAGGAAGAGCCTGGCAAAGCTCTGGGGGTGCCCTGCGCCTCTGGCAGCAAGAAAGCCCGTTAAAGAGCAATCCCAGCACACCGTAACTCCTGCCCACCAGGGTGTCCTGGAGACACAGGGGCTGAGCTCACGGCTCCCAGGTCTTTTCTGGGCACCAGCACCCATCTTCACCACAGTGAGGACGTGGCATCTGCACGCTGTGCAAAGAGAGACAGCCACCTGCTGCTCCCAGGGACACTGCCCACTCCATGGAGGAATGACACGGCCCCTGCGGAGGCTTTCCCAGCACACTGAGGTTTGCTGCCCTCCATCCCCAAACAGAGCTTCACCCCACCACAACCCGACTGAAGCCTAAGTGTCTTGGGCCCTGGCTGTCTGGGCTCCAGTCCTCTCTGATACAGCTACTGCATCCTACACGCGGTAAAGATACACAGCAACCTTGCAGCAGGAGAGCAGCAAAACCTTCTCTTGCGGGGAGAGGAGTGAGCGCTTCTTACCTGTTTCCTGAGGTTCTCCGGAGTTGTTGGGGTCCGGCTCTTCCTGCTCCTCTACTGCCAGCAGAGGTGTGAGGAGCAGGAGCAATGTCCATCGCAGGGCCATGTTTGCTTGTGCTCCCAGGACAGGACTGAGGTCTCAGCTCCGCTGGCTGCCTCACAGCACACGCATCTGATTGCAAGAGGTGCACGCACAGAAAGGAAACAGCCGCACAGAGAAATCACATATGGTGCAAGAGGCTTCCTCATTGGAGAAGGAACCTCTGCCAGTGTCAGCGCCGCTTTCATTCTTCTCTTCTGTGCACTGGGGCAGCTTCATGCCCTTTTTGCAGTCTTGCTGCTCTCTGATCATTTGTCTGAGAACAACAGTTTTCAGGCTTTCTGTCAGGAGCAGTTACTAGCCACAACAGCTGGGTTGCCTCCCCTCCAAGCACAGATCTCAGCGGTCCCAGGTGGTCTTGTGAGCTGTGCTGGTTCATGACTGGGGTTTTGCAGGAAGATGTAGCTTCCATACTCACACAGTACAGAGACTACATCAGGACAACCCTCACCTTGTTACTGCCTGATAAGGATTGTGATAAAAGGACTTCTGAAGTGCACTGATGATCTTACTGCCAGGTAATTACCTGGCAGTGCATGCCAGGGGCAGGAAAGCCAAGGTTTTGGCAGAAGTGGTTGGGTGCTCAAGACTGGGCTGAGAGCAGATGCTCAGGAACAAACTGATGAGAGCCCTGGGGACCTGGAGCCCAAGTGTTGTGGCAGGTTGTGTTGCCAACACATGCTGGGAGCGGGAATGACCATGAAGGGGTGACAAGGTGGCACAGGCACAGCAGTGGGCAGGGAGAGGGCTACCGGTGAGTCTGTCTGTGTGGTTGGAGGCTGGTGACACTGGCCACGGCAGCAGACCCAACCATCAGAGGTGGCCCAGGGGAGGAGTCGATGAATTTGTGCTCCAGCTTCCCCAGCCGCCCAGCAGCCCTTGCTGGATGTGCTTGGCCCACGTCCCAGCCGAAACACACAGCTGGGAGAAAAACAAGCCCTGAAATCTTTTCTGAGGCTTTGCAGCAGGGCTCCAGCCCCTTGTGATGGCCTTCCCCTTTATTGTGCTCTTCAGCAAGGTCCAGTACTCCCAAGCCTGGGGTCAGGCTCTGCTTTCTACTGGTGCACGTCCTTCGCTTGATTTGCACATCCTGCAACACCTTTATTCAGCAGAATCAAGCAGGCCAGTGCGGGGTGGCCCTCTCTAAATACAGTCTTCCCAGCCACCCCAAAAATCTGACCCTGAGCAAAACGTGGTAGAAGGCTTTATTTTTTTTTTTCTGCAATGATGGTGCTTGAGGGCAGATACTCCAGCAGTCTTTTACCTCTCAGGGACAGAGCTGGAGTCTGCCTGGCCACCTTCCTTGTGCCCTCCCATGATCAGAAAGGCAGTCTCAGCCTCTTCTCCCTTGTCTGTGCTTCATTTCTTCCTGCAATAGAGCTGGCAGGGCCAGTGGTGTGTCGTCCCCCCGCCCCGAACCTCTCTTTTTATTTTCTTCGCTCATGTTATGAAGGTCACCTGTGGAGAGTTTACCATGCTCAAACACGCTTGCCCTAGCAGAAGTGCCCTGGGGCTGCAAGTGCACAGTCAAGGACCCTGGCATCGCAGCAGGGCACAGCCTGGGAGGTAGCTGGGAGGTAGCTGTGCTCCACCTCAGGTGGGAGGTTTGTGGGGTGGGGGGAAGCAACTGCTCCTCTGCCTCCAGCAACAGCAGCAACTCAGATGTCACCTCTCCCTGCTTGTTGGTGCTTCTGGGTCTTTCACGAAATAAAGGTCTGCAAAAGCAAACTGTATCAGTAGGAATAGGTTCCTCATTTGGAGGATCTTTGGAAAATGAGTAGGGAAATTCCATAAATTAAAAAAGACTAAAAAACCCCACATCCCCAGTCCCTCTGTGCACCACTCCCAGCACAATGGTTGTCAGCTCCTATGTTAACAGTATATGGCATCTCCAAAAGTCCTTCATTACCCCATCTGAAACCTCAAAAGCCATGGAGGAAGTGTAGCCCAAGCAGTTGCTAGGAAGCCCTCTTGCTCTTCACACTTCCCCTTGCTCCACATCAGAAAAATACAGCCTTGAGTGTAACCCGGGCTCTTGCACAGATGATGGAGGGGTGTTGCAAGCCGGCACCACCTTCCCAGCAGGTCCAGCAGCTTTGTGCTCTGGTCACACAAGGCAAACCCAAAGCCAAAAAGACAGCTTTGGCTTGTTTGCAACAAGACAAGATGCAGGTGTCCCTAGGCTTCTTGGTTTGGCAGGTCCCACTGCCTCCTCCATGTCACCCCTTTGCAGAGCGCATCCGGCAGATGTGACACAGCTGGGAGGATGGGCAGGGTGTATTTCAGCGGGGTGCAGGCAGGGAGCCATATCCTGCTGTGATGCCAGGGTCAAGACATGCTGCCACACACGTGTCCCATTTTGCCACAAACCTTGCAGCGCGCTGGCATTTGAACCACGTTTCGCAGCAACCTTGCCACCCCAGGGGATGTCACTCCTCTGCTGCGAGGACATGCTCTCCTATTGACCCTGCAGACTTTGTGGCAGATTCGAAGCTCTTGAAGTGTTTGCAAAAAGGACTGCTGGCTGCTTCTACAGGCAGTTCTTTGTTCTGTTTTTTGTTTGTCTTACTGAGATTTTACATCTTACCTACCTGATACTATTTTTTGTCATCTAGACATGCCTTCAGCCCTTTGAAGGGGTCTCTCTTTTTCGAACAACCTCTGGCCCTGGTGTTCAGCCCTGCTGTTTCCTCTCTGCCTTTGATACCTGGAACCCTGAAAGGCTGCCTTAAATATTTGTGACCTTGCTTGACACTGTGTGACCATGCTGCTTCTTTTAGCTTAATTTTATCCAAGTTTTCTCATTTCACGCATTTCCTCTTTCTGAAGCTGAACAAGATGCCACTGGACTTTTCAACCATTGGTGATTATGCAGGGTCATGGAAATGAAGCATGCTGTGGCTGTCACCCGCAGGCAGCCCTTTCCTGAGAACGTGCTCAGCCCAGTCCTGCACAGAGCTCATTTCCCCATCTTCCCCCCTTGTGGCGCACATGGAGGAGCCACACACTGACCTCTTGCTTGCCTCTGCCTGGTATTGCAAACCAGCCATCGGGATGCTTGAAGACCAACAGCAGTAATACTGCACCCTGCCTCTTCCTTTTGGTTGGGATCCATGTTCCCAAAGGTGTATCTGTGGTGCAAAGGGGTCTGCATCCCTCTTCTAAAGCGGGGACCCCGTCGCTGGGGCCACACCTCGGAGAAAGGGCTCCTGCCTGCTCCTGGCCTCCTGCCTGCAGCTGGAAGTCGGTGCTTGCACCCACACACGTTACTCCCCCGCACGGTGCTCTCCAGGAGCAGCACTTGGCTTGCCAGTCCTCCCCTAAATCTCCCCCATGCTGTCACCCATGGACTGTGCACAGCTGCTGGTGTGCAGAGACTGGCTTTTGCCCCATGAGCATCGCGGCAAGGGGAAACAGGGGCTCTGGGCTGTGAAAGCCACCCATGGGCAATGTTGCCACTAAAGTTCATTCAGAGGAAACCCTGTGGGTTTCATTGTACAGATGGGGGCACCGAGGCAGAGAGGGAGTCAGGAAAGGGGCTGAGGAAGGAAGTCTGCGCTTCGGCGGCAGACGCTGATTTCAGTGCTGAGTCCCAAGACAGTCCCGCAACCACAGTACTGTCCTTCCTCTGGCTGAAAGAGAACAGGGCTGCGTCCCATCCTCTGGTCCTGCCTCGGCACTCCTGGGCTACTGCCACAAGTAGGGTCACGCCAGCCAGGGACCTGGGAAGCAGCTCCTCTGACCCCGGGCTGGGATAGCCACTGTGCAGGGAACTGGCCTGTCCCTGGGCTGTGCTGCATCTGGGCTAGCCTGAAAGCTGGATGTTCAGCTGTTTTGAGCATGCACAAAGCTCTCAGGAGTTAATATGAGCTCATACATGGCTTCATGTCCCCAGAGCAGTGGTTGCAGAGGTGTCAGAGCCACCAGCATGCCCGTCCCCCACCTGGCAGCCCCTGCCCTGTATGGCATGACTGCTACATGGAGCCTTGTGGGATTTGGGGATGGCAGGGTGAGCACTGGGTCTGTCTGCCAGAAGGGGCATGGGAAGGAAAGGCATTCCCTCCCCTCCCCCAATATATGGGCCTTTCCTTCGGACACAAATGTGCCCGCTTGTGCCCCATGCTCCCTTGCACAGATGTCTGTCCCTCTGCTGCCCTCAAGCTTGGTGCTGCCTGCAGCCCTTGCAAGAGAATGGTCGATGCCAGCAGAGCATGAGCCCATTTCCCACCACACTGACACTTCCCCACTTGCTCAGCTTTTAGTGCCTTGAAAAGCTGCCATGTTAATGTGGTACTTTCTTTGTTGTCTGTCAGATGCCATGCAGTCTTGGTGACATGACAGTCACACTTCTCTGCCAGGCCTGATACTGGCTGCTACCGAGTCTGTTCAATGAGACACCCTCTGCTTTCCTGTGTGTCTTGCTGACTGGCGTGGCTTGCAGGTCTGTCCTTAGAAACTGTTCATGACATCCTGGCTCAGCCATAGGGTTCCCCCTCTGAAGACAGCTCTCTTGCTGTGGCTGCAGACCCCCAGGGCCTTGTGCTCACCCTGGGGCTGCCTGTCCTGACTCCATGTGCATCTCTGTCCCTCCACTGCCTGCCTGTCTTGCCCAAATGTGCACTCCCATCTCAGCTCTCCCAGCCTGTCCCCAAGGCAGTTTGGCAGTTTGCTGGTGCTCATGCCTCCTCCCTTCCCAGTCTCCCACAGCAGCCTCTGAGGGCTGCCAGCATTGCTTCAGCCCTGGCAGGCATCCAGGGGCCATAGTCACAGCCTTCGCCCTGAAGATGAGCCAGGTCCTGATGACCTGGGCAGAGAAGGAACAAGGGGACCTGTCAGGACCCCGTAGCACTTGGCACCAGCAGGTCTCTGCCTCTCAGCTGGTGCATGTCCCTCAGGTTGTCATGTGCGTCTGGACTCCCACTGCACCCTTAATCCACTCCCAGCCATGCTGTCACCCCGTGCCTTTACCTCCCCCACTGCTGGGTCCCACAGTTCCCACCACCACTCCAAAGCAGACCCCCGTACCATGAGGCTGGGCTCCTCTTTGCCTTTTGTATGCTGGGTACTCTGCTCCCAGGGTTCATCCCCAGAGCCCAGCACTTCTTCACTAAGAGACACTTTGCTGGGCAGCGGCTGAGGGGCTGCCTGCAAGGAGCAGGAGTGAAGGACACGATGCTGCTCCAGGACCCCTCACACAGGTGACATGAGATGGGCAGGACTGAGTGTGCATCTTGCTGCTGGTCCAGAGCTGCCCCCAGCCTTGCTCTGCGCCTCAGCACATGTGAGGTGGGCACTGGTGCTGGGGTGGCACTGCTGCTGGCAACTGCTCTGCCCTGTGCCCACGGAGGGCAGGGGGACATGGGGCTGGCCCTGGCAGGCAGCCTACCACCAGGAGGCTGGGAAGGGACTAGTTGGTGCAGTAACCAGGCCAGGGACCTGCACTGTTTGCTGTTGAAGCCTGGCTGCGTTTGGGTTCAGGGAAGTGGCCAGGAGGTGTCATGCACACAGCATGACCATCTTACCTGGCCCCATCTACTCTGGAGGTGTTCACAAGGCTGTGGGCCAGCACCTGCCCCTCTCTCCATCGCCACCCACACCCTACAGCACCAACCTTTCTGCCACCATGTCCCAGCCAAACGGGTGCCAAGGGATGCTGAGCTCCCCGTCTCGGGGGCTGGCGGAGCTGCCCTCCCCAGACCAGGGTCAGCTCCAGGACACAGCAGCACCCAGTGGCTCCTCTTCCTGCTCAGCCTGCCCCCGGCAGTACTCAAGGCCCCATGTCCCCATCAGGATCCTGCAGCTGACCCTCCGGGACCAGGCCACCAGCAGGGCCACCCAGCCACAGCAGCAGCGCTGGCAGCCACGCCCCCATACACATTGCTGCGTGCCTTCCAGCCACGCAGGCTTCACGGGCTTCATGCCCCGTGCCCAGTTCCTGATCGGGACAGGCTATCTGATAACCACCAACCAGACCCTGCTCGAGTTTAGCCAGATGACCCCGAAGAAGACTTCAACAGCGGCAAACCCTGTTGCAGCAACCCCAAATCCAGTCTCTGACACCCTAACCACCCTGCTATGCCTCCCCTGCATCCGAGGCTGCCCCAGCAGCGAGCACCCAGCGAGCCACTCCGTGTCAGTCCCACCAGCACAGGCCGCTGGAAATCCCCTCTTCCACCCTGGGGCTGACTCAGCACCCCACGGGGCTGTTTGCCAGCACACGGTTCCCTTCCCCGTTTGGGCCAGCCCGTGCACGTGGGGAGAACAGCCTGGCCCTGTGCAATTTGTAAACAGGCCTGACCGCTGCCCTGCCTCTGAGAAGTTAATTAAAGCAGCCCACATGCAAGCTCTGGCTGCTCCGTGCCCCTCCAAGCCAGGACAGGGGCTTATGCTGCTTCACTTCTGGATTTTTTTCAACTTTTTTGACTCACTCCACCACTGCAGACCGTTTGTCTACATGGTTGCAACAAACTCCAGCGTGGTGTCCTTGCAGGAAAGGCTGGAGCCTCAAGCAGCGCTTTCCCTTCTCCTGGGAGCTAGTAAGGTGTACAGGGAAGGGATGGGCTAT